TCATAGTGGGGCTGGCCATATGGTCTTCTCTGTGGATTGGCTACTCTGAGCGGGAATGTCGTCCTCAAGACTTGGTGGCCCAGCATGTGCTCCACTCTCTCTTCCTCCCCCTTCATTTGCTCCCATGTGCTCTGATCGGACATGTCCCTCTGCCTGAGCTACAGCTCAGTGCTGTCCTCTGAAATAAATTCTTCTGAGAAGAGGGGCAGGTGTCCCCGTAGTTGGGATTGGGGCCGGCCCCTCAGACCTCTCCACTGGTTCCTTTCTCCATGCCGGTACATTGCATTCATATCTTGGAGCACCAGGTTGAGCTTCTGAATGTCTAATTGTTGATAGAAAGGTCTTCCCACTATAGGATAACAAAAGAATACTCCCAATTTTTTTCTAGAACTTTCATTTTTGACATTGAAATCATTTCCAGATGTGGAATAGCCTACAGCATGAGGCTGGGGTCCGCCTTCTCTTTTGTCTCTAGAGGGTCACCCGGTGGTCCCCACTTAATAACCCAGTTATCTAGTCTTGGCTGACTCAGACTTGTTCACACCTTTTCCCGCCACATGCACGGTCCTGTTCCTGCGTCTGGCTGGCATCTCTCTCCCCCGGCCCCACGGCTTCAAAGCCTCTCTTGTTCAAATTTACAGTCCTTGACAGGGTCGGAGTATCCAATAAGCAAGGTAAGCACAGCCTGACTGTTGCTTACTTACTTGTCTTTCATGAACAATGTGACATGTTTTTCACCACATCAAAGGTGTGGCCCACAAGGAGGACCCCTGGTGGCATAGTAATTATGTGTTAGGCTGTGAAGGACAAGGTCAGTAGTTCAAAACCACCGTCCACTCTGAGGGACAGAAAGATGAGGCTTTCTATTCCCACATTGAGTTACAGTCTTGAGAACCCACAGGGACAGCTCTACTCTGTCCTGTGGGGCCCCCAGAATGCTCCTTAGAAGCAAGAATGGCAAGACCTCTTCTCACGTACTGTGGACATGGTATGATGAGAGACCAGTCCCTGGAAAGGGGCATCCTGCTTGGCAAAGTCAAGGAGCATCAAAAGAGGGGCGACTCTTGATAATGTGGACTGACACAGGCACCGCAATAACTCGCTCACACCTAAGAACAATTGTGAGGCTGGCACGGACCGCGGCGTTTCCCTCTATGGTGCACAGGGCCCCTCTGCGTTGGAAACATCCTGAGGGCACTCCACAACCACAAAGGGTGGCTTCGCCTAAGATACCACCTTTCCCTAGACTCAGTCTCTGGATGTCCCATGGATGGCACTGGGTTCCAAAGATTTCCCTGCTTGGCTGGGCATCTGTTTGACCTGCTAAGTGGCTTTGAGCCGTCAGACCAGATTCTGGAGCCTCGCACGCACGTCTGTGGTCTGACTCCTGGGTCAGACTGTGGAGAGAGGAGGTAGTCATCAGCAGGCAGGGGAGGGGCCATCAGGCCTTCCATGGCCCCTGGTAACTTTCCCACTCTCCGTTCCAGGGGCTGGAGGAAGAAGAAATCTGAGTTCCAGGTGAATGCTGAAGACAGGGCTCGAGCCACCATACAGGAGGAATTCCAGAACCTGGGGCCCATCAAGTACGCGGGGGTTGGAGGGAAAAGCTACCCCCTGGCCTGGCCCCTGGGACCCTGGAGCCTGAGGCACACGAGGGGACCGTCCAATCTCTTGAGCTGGTCCTGAAGGAGATGCCTTGTGACCCCCAGGCTGGGGCACCTTAGGACGTTTGAGCCTCCCAGGGTGCCCCTGGGTGGGGGGAGCTGCCCCCTCCCCGCCTCCTCACACACACACCTAAAGCACCCTGTTCCTCCTGGTGCGTGACACGCCCTGACGCTGTCTGGAGTGCCTTCGGGCCCTCTGCCTGGAGTGAACGCTTCTCAGGTGGTGAAATGACCAAGAGCAGGAGTTCAAGGTTCAAGGTTCAAGGTTCAAGAGTTTGCTCTGTGGGGCCTTGGCCAGGGCACTAACCCTCTCTGAGCCTTGGTCCCCAATGCGTGACATGGCATATTGACTGGATACTTGCCTCAACGTTCGGGCTCTCCTCTCGCGTGTCTGTCTGTCCCTCTCAGTCTGTGTGCACCTGTCACCCAGGGTCTGCAGGACCAACCATCTTCTTTCTCTGCTGCTCCCCTCTCTTCCTACCCGCCTGCCTCTGCTGCTCCTTGGGCCTTGGGGACTTCCTGGTGAGACTAATCGAGAGGGGTTGGAGGATGCATGATGCTTCAGAAGGAACTGGGGGTGGGGGGCACAGGAAGAAACCCTGGAACAAGAGCCCCTACTCCATCCCCCGACCCACCCTGTCCGGCCTCTGGGGGTGCCCTGGGAGGGAGAGCGTCTAGTCTGTGCTGACTCAGAGGTGAGGTCTGCTCCTGACCAAAGCCCTCCGTGACCGTCGTGTGTCCCCCACAGGTTTGCGGAACAAGCCGTGTTCGTCCTTTTCTGCTTATTCGCCATTCTGCTCTTCTCCCGGGACCCGAAGTTCATCCCTGGCTGGGCCAGCTTCTTCGCCCCGGGGTGAGAGTCGGGGCCCTCAAAGGGTGGAGGCCTGCAAGGGAGGGAGACATGGTTTCGATGGCTACTGCTCTTCGTGTATTTTGCCAAAAGACATTTGTGAGTTTCTCAGATGGCCGATGGATGCTGTCAACCATCGACTAATACCCAGAAGGCCAAAGGTGCCCAGAATCCCAGGCTCCAGTTCCCCGAAAGAGCCAAGAGCAATGGGCTCTGGGCGCCGCTCTGTACCGCACTAACGTTGAGGGATCAGAGCCCTTACCCATTTGCCAAAACCCACCGGACTGGCCCCTGAAAATTACCAACAGTTGTGAGGGTGGCACAGGCCCAGGGTGTGCTTCGTCCTGCTGTGCTTCAGGTCGATGGCACCGAGCAACCACCACCTTACCAATTGCCACCAAATTGAGCCTGACTCCCACCTGCGGTCTCAGAACAGAGAACTGCTCCTTAGCATTTCTGAAACTAGACAGCAGCGGTTCTCAACCTGTGGGTCAAGACCCCTTTGTGGGTCAAACAACCCTTTCACAGGGGTCACCTAAGACCATCGGAAAACACATAAATATTTCACAATATATAATGACATATTGTTTTGTGATTAATCACTATGCTTTAATTATGTTCAATTTGTAACCATGAAAACACATCCTGCCTATCAGATATTTACATGATGATTCATCACAGTAGCAAAATGACAGTGATGAAGTAGCAATGAAAATAATGTTATGGTTGGGGGTCACCACCACATGAGGAACTGTATGAAAGGGCCGCGGCATTACGAAGGTTGAGAACCGCTGCTATACCGCTTAAAGAAGCAGACAGCCTCGTCTTTCTCCCGCAGAGTCACTGGTTGAGTTTGAACTGCTGACCTCGTCCGTGCCCGACCCTTAACCCATAGCACCCATGCTTCGTTGGGTGTACCATGTACTCGTAAATTACACCCCAATAAGACTGGCTGTAAGAGCTCAGACAAACTAGCTAAAAACTAATCTCGCTTAACTAATTTTTTTTTTAAAACAAGCACGTGGTCACATCATACATATGATTTCCGACCTGTTCTTTTATCTTCCTTTTACACTGACAGATGATGCGTGGTCCTTATACAAACTCCAAACAATTCCGAATTCTAAAACTGAGTGCTAGCTGCCCTCCCCGCTTCTGCCTCCCCCCGCAGAGGCTCACTGTGGACTTGTGGGCGCGCCGCACTTCCTAGGCCCCTCGCTCTTCAGACACCCACAACGGCAAGGACTCACGCAGACTCTCGCATGGGTATTAGCGCTGACCTCCAAGGGGGCTTCAAAAAAGCCCCTGGGAAAGTGGAATGAAAGCTAGTGGGATTTCCCAGGAGACTTTGGGAACGTCCTCCGTGTGGCCAACTCCTACTGGCCCTTGGGTGCAAGGTTTGGAACTACTTCGGTCATGGCCACTGCAGGGAAACATGAACACACCTGAATTTTTGGAATCTGCGTGATTCCTCATGGTACCCCAACCCGGAAGCATTACCGGCTGAAGTCCTGGCATGAGAGACTCGGAAGAGGCATCTTGAGCCCCTTCATGAGCCTGGTCCAGGTGGCGGGATTGCTGATCGGGTGGTGGAGAGCCTCAGGAGAAAGCCTGGGCTATCTATGCCCACGAAGAGTTCCAATCTGGGAAACCCACTGGAGTGGTTCTACCTGCCCTATAGGGTTGCTATCAGTTGGCATCGCCTCGAGAGACGTGCGTGTGGGGTTTGGTGGAGAGCCGCACGCATTCAAACGTTGGGGGCTTGGCTGGCCGCCCTCTTTGAGCGGGGTGTCCCCATCCGTGAACCTGCTCTCCATAAAGTCCCCTTGCCGCTGAGTCAGTTTCAACTCATTGTGACCCTGTGTGGGGTTCCCGAGACTACAGACTAGATGGCTGCATCTTTCGCCTACAGGGTGGCTGGTTTTGAACCCCACACCTTAGGGTCAGCAGGAAGCTGTAGCTTCCCCTACAGCTCCACCAGAGCTCCCTGGACCACGTCCTCCTCACAACAAATTCTTCATCACAGTTAAGGTCACTTGTGGCCGTGCCCCTTATGGCCCCTGCACTAGAGCAGGGCGAGGAATGCCCAGCCCTCGGGCCGCAGAGGGCCCTCAATATCATCAGAGAGAAGCCATTCCAGCCAGCACATCCCAAACTCTCACCAAACTCTGCCATGGAGCTGATGCCAACTCCTTACAACCCTATCTGGGCCAGGGCAGAACTGCCTTGTGGGTTTCCCAGACGGCGGCTCTTTGCAGGAGTACAAAGCTCTGTCTGTCTCCCAAAGCAGCCACGGGTGCTTTTGAACTGCTGACCTTGCACTTAGCAGCTCAAGGAGTAATCCACTATGCCACCAGGGCTTCTCATGTCAATCAATCTCTCTCTCTCTCTAATCAGGAGGCAGTCCCCATATCACAGATGATATAGATAGCACAGGGGCAGTCCCTGGGTGACAGTGAGAGGTGTTCCTGGTCTTTTAATAACTCCACGACAGTTGGGACACATCTGGAAAGGACAAGGGTATGATCGTGGACAGCACCACTGCTGTCCAAGCCCCTCCCTCCACCTCCTTTTTGGCTTGTGTCCAGTACTGCAAATAAAAATTCCCCCCATTTGTCACGTCTATGTTAATACATTACGATTGTTATTACCTTTCAAATGAAAGCAAACAACAAACAAAAACAAAACCAAGAAATAGAGGCAGACTACCTCATTATTTGGCTGGGACACCTTTTAGTTAAGCATGTCGCTATTTAACATGTATTCTTCGTCTCTTTCACTCCAATAAATAATGAGCCTCCCTGTCCAGATGTAAACACAAGAATATGGTGATTTCCTGAGGGTAAGTGCTGAGAAACAATGCAATTGGATCGAGCGGTACCGGCATTTACCATTTTGAACCATGTTGCCAACTGTCTTCCAGAAGGTCAACCCCTTTTATTCCCCCACGACCAGTATGTTTGCCCGGCGCTCTCACTGGCCATTATCCTCCCTTTCGAGTTCTGTCTGTCTGGGATGATAGTCCATGAGCCTTTTCATTTCAAATTCTTTCACTATAGCGAAATGATAATGACCATCTTTTCAAATGTCTTGGCTGTCTGCCTATGCTCCCTCCCAAGTGTCTGGGCCTAAGGGCTTTCGTTAGCAAGGATGGTTTGCTAAAGGATGCATCTTTATTATACAAAAATCATAGTTCATGAAGGCAAGAATACTCCATCAAGGCCCTTGTCCTCCAGGGACCATTGATTGTCTGGTTGTGAGCAGGTTGCTCCTGCTTATGAACTTCTGAAATGGGAGCTGCCTGCCTCCGAGGGCTGCTTGGGAGGCTTCCGTGAACCTAATGTCTACAAAGGACACACAGTCTAGGAGGCTTGGAAGGTGGCGCGTGGGCTGTGCGGTATGATGAGCTTGGTTATCTTTGCTGGTGATATCGGGCAGCATCTCCTCGTGGTGAGCTGCCCGTGCCAGGAGGAATTCAAGCAGAAGCAACCTGGATCCATCCAAGAGTCTTGATAGGGTGAGCTGTGGCCGTTCGAAACCACCAGCAGCTCCTTGGGAGAAAGACTGAGCTGTCCTCTCCCGGTAAACAAGGACAGTCTCAGAGCCCCACAGGTGGCCCTATGAGTGAGCACAGAGTCAATGGCCATGAGAGGTGGGGCTTGCGCAGACTCCAGTGCCTGCAGTGCCTCCTCGGCTATTCCTTCCCTGGTGACGTCCTCTCAGTGGAGGGCCAGCATCTGTCTGGCCCCAGATGTGTCAAACCAGGGTGCAGGGGTGGTTTGATAAGGCCATGAGGTGCAACACTGGATCCAAGGAGGTGCTCTGCCGTGGGCCAGACTCCTTTCGGCAGATCCTCCTGGGAAAGCCAGCGGCCTGAGGGCCGCCAGGGTCACGTACTTTGGGCCCTTGTCCTTGTAGGTTTCTTTCCGATGCGGTCACTGGTGTATCCATTGTCACCATCTTGTTCTTCTTCCCGTCCCAAAAGCCATCTCTCAAGTGGTGGTTTGACTTCAAAGGTAAGGGGGCCAGGCTGGGGTCTCGTTGGGTGACCTCGGGAACCTGGAGGTGGGCCCATGCCTGGGACGTGTACAACCAAGTGATTCCTGATGCCCCCCTTTTGTTCTCGAAGTGCTGGCCCTATCTGGGGACTCAGCGTGCCCAAGCTGAGGGTCTAGGGCAGGGGTTGGCAACAGCAGTCTGTGGGCCAAAAGGCTGCTTCTTTCCTGTACCGCCTGCGAGCTAAGAATGGGGTGTACATTCTCAGATGGGTGGGAAAGTCAGAAGAAACATACTATTTTACAGTACTGGAACATTATACAAAGTTCACACTTCAGTATCCAGACACAACATGTTTAACGTCCTCAATACAAAAAACTTTAACAATGTTATTCTTAGCACTTCCTCCACATGCCATACAATTTCATAATTCAATCAGATCCACAGAGTTGTACAATAATCACCACCTTCAATTCTAGAACATTTTATTTCCCTTTTAGTCATTGTCATTCATGTGGGGTTTTTTCTGATTGTGGCAAAAATATCCACCACAGACCATGCTCCAATTCCATAACTTCCACTTGTACAGTTCAGTGTCCTTGACTCAAATACAAATTTTGTGGAAATGTCTTTTCGCTTGTCATCCGGTATCTGTTTTGCCTCTTGGCCTGCCATGCCCAAACTAGTGACTTTCTGACCCTCTTCATGGGTGACACGGTGGGGTCATGGGTTAGGAGCCGGGCTGCTAGGTGCCATGGGAGAAAGATGAGGCTGTCGACTCCTGTAACCATCTAGACTCGGAAACGCTCAGGGCTAGTTCTCCCCTGTCCTACAGGGGTACTATGAGCCCCTGCCTTTGGCTACTGCCCGGCTCTCTCAGGAAGACTGCCCAGCCCTGGTCTGAGGCAGGAGTTGGTTGGTTCCTGCCTGCCTGCGGGCCCAGGCACCGAACAGTCAAGCTGAGTTATCAGCTTCAAGGAAGTGGTGGGAGCTGAGGCAAACCTACCCAAGGGCGTTCAACATGGTGAGCAAAAATTGCACCCAGCATCTGGGCGGACCTCCAGATGGCCAAAATCCCATTGCCAGCAGATGTTGCCAGAAGCCCCGCCATTGCCATCTGTCGGCAGTGGCTAACACTGCCCGGCTGTCGGCCAGGAATCAGGGAGAGGGGTTTTCTACCATTGCAAAACCAGTACGAGGAAGCTTAGCTGCGGTCAGGGAGGGCGGGCTTGGTTGAGTGGAAGAGGTTGAGCGTGTGCTTCAGTGAGCAGACCGGAGTCTCCCGGGGATCCAGAAAGAGCTGGGCTTTGTGAGGCTCAGAGTGGACACAGGGCCTCTTAGACGCTGCAGGCGCACAGGCTCGCTTCTCTCTTACGTCCAACTAGCTGGCCTCATCAGCGACTCTGAGCAGCGTTTCTTGGCCTAAATGTTACTTGCAGGAGACCTCGTGGTGTCGTGGTTATGCACTGGACTGCTAACCTCCAGATCAGCAGTTCAAAGCCACCAGCCACTCCACAGAGAGACATGAGGCTTTCTACTCCCATAAAGAGTTACAGCCTCAGAAACCCACAGGCACAGTTCACTGTTCCCTATGGGCACTGTGCATCAGATTTAACTCAGTAGCAGTGAGGTGTTGTTGGTTTTTTTTAATAAATACATTATTTGAGGAGCTCTGATGGCATAGTGGGTATGCATTGAGCTACTAACCACAGGGTCAGCAGTTCGAACCCAAAGGAGTTCTCCACTCCTTTGGAGAAAGATGAGGCTTTATGTCCCTTAGTCTTGGGAACCCCAAGGGGCAGCTCTACTCTCTGTCGGGCTGCTGCAGGTCCGGATCGATTGAACGGCAGTGAGTTTGAGCTTTATTTTAAATAGATTGTTTACTGCTTCTTAGTGTTGGCAGCTGTCTAGTTTCTGGCTTGTCGTTGATTTTGCTTTTAGAAAAATCAACTTCCGCTACAGCCATCAGAAAAGCAAACAGGTTCAGTGTTTTCTCTTTCGTAATGCCTGCCGAGTTCAGCTTCCCAGAACATCCCAGGGGCCAGGCGGTGTATGGGGAATCCCCTGCTGCAGTGGTTCTCAACCTGTGGGTCGACACGCCTTTGGGGGTTGAACGACCCTTTCACAGGGGTCGCTCGAATCATAACAGTAACAAAATGACAGTGATGAAGTAGCAACAAAAATAATTGTGTGGTTGGGGGGGGGTCACCACCACATGAGGAACTGTACGAAAGGGTCCTGGCATTAGGAAGGTTGAGAACCACTGCCCTACTGGAACCTGCGTTCTCTACGGACAGAGCTTGTCTCTGATCTGGCCATTTCTGTATCCCCGGTGCTTGGACAATGCTGGCCACAGAGTAGGATAAATGACCCAAGGGCTTGCTGGGTGCCCAGCCCTGGCCCCCCCCCCCACCTCCGCCCCTTCCCTGAGGGCAGTGCTACCACACTGCTTTGTGGCTGAGGATGCCAGAGGCTCCAAGAGGGGTAGGGGAGGTCACTGACCCGCAGCTGGGCTTGAACCACTGACCTTGCAGTGAGTAACCCACTGCTTAACCTACTGCGCCACTAGGGCTCCTACAATGACAGGGTAGTTGCTAACTACAAAGCCAAATAGCTGTGCCACTGGTTCCTTGCTAATCTTTTGCAGAGAAAGGTGGGTGGGAGGGGAGGGTGTCCTAGAAGCTCCAATACACACTGGGGGCAGATTACGGCTTCCTTGGAGACCCGGAGTACTCCCAGGGTTCCAAGCTGAGTGTGCCTGAGGTTATTTTGGGGTCCCCCTCTTGCCCAGCAGGGGTCTAGGGCCCCCTTCCTCAGGGCCAATGCCCTCTCTGAGAGTGTGTTGGGCCCCTCTCTCTGCCAAGCTCCCAATAGGGAGACGGAGCCCTTACTGACGTGGAAGAAGGTTCAAGAGTCGGTACCCTGGAACATCATCCTTCTCCTGGGCGGCGGCTTCGCCATGGCCAAAGGCTGTGAGGTAAGACGGGTGAGGGTGAGGTGGGGGAGAGGGGTGGGCAGAAGAGGGGGAGGCAAGGTCCGGCCCCAGCTGCAGGCTGTGGAACCAGAGGCAGGCAGATCACCGGATCCTTACAGTCCCTCCTCCCGGCCCACACCCAATGCGATGGAACATTGGAGGGGTTCAGGATGGAAGTGACCATGGCCAGTGGGCCCTGAATAGAGAGGAGGAACAGAAGTGTGCTTCCCCTGCCAGGCCCGGTCAACGCGCCGTAGACAGCGCTACTATCCCCGCCTATAGAGAAGGGAAGCAGCCACAGCGAGGGAAAGCCGCTTCCCTGCGGTTACTCAGCTGTAGACTCAGGATTCGAATCCAGGCTGGGTGATGCCAGTCTATGCCCTTGACCATGGAGATACAAATGCTAGATGGGGGTGCTGTGAGGACCACCAAGCTGGTTCCAGCCAGGCCAGGTTCTAGGCCATGCCAAAGGCAGGCTCCGCTCTCAGCTCTCCACCCCTGAGAATCTGCCCTGTTCAGCTGCGCGTCACAAATCTCTTCAGCTCCGTCAGTAAGTACCCAGAGCCAACTCACTGGGTCATCGAGCCTCTTGCCTGAGGCACGCAGCTCTCTCACTCCACTCTCTGTCCCCTGAGTCTAGGAGGTTCTCAGCGCAGGGACCCTGGGCCCATAGGAGGTGCTTCACTCCTGGCTCTTATTCTGGATGGTAGTGAAGTCCCCTCTCCCTAATTTTAAACCCAGTGGGATGGCAAAACAGACCAATCTCATTAGGATTCCTTGCACCTTTTTCTCTTTGGGGGGGGCATGATTAGCAGGCTATCCAATCCCCTTGGTAGGCTACAAACATCTTATTTGCATAGTCCCACCCACTCACTTGTGGGAATCACAAGACCATGGCTAGGAGGGCCAGGTGAAGTCATTCAGTGCACCACACCGGGGACAGTGACTTGTTATCCCCAGAGGGTGGGATGCGATGGCAGACAGTATGGGCCAAAGGGCCAAAACATTACGTGGCATTACATTTCCTCTGCTTCTAACCTGTGTGATCTCTGGCAAGTTACTAAGCCTCTCTGGGCCTCGGTTTTCTTGTCTGCAAAGTGCAAGTAGCAAGGGTACCCGACTCACAGAGGATTAAATGAGTCAGCACACAGGCAGCACTGAGAACGGAACTGGGCTTAGTGGAGAATTACTGATGAGCTCTTAGGGAAGAAAGGGCAGGATCAAGGATGGCTTGGAGGTTCTTGTCCCAAGCACAGGGCCCTGATCTGAGACAGAGGGCTGGCTGAAGTGGCCTGCACCGTAGGCTACTCTGCATACCTGTTGAAGTGGGAGAAGCCCTGTCTCTCAGTGGGGGCTGGACTGTAGAACCACACAGCATGCTGGAGACCTGGTTGGCCCCTGGCTCAGCCCTGGGCAGCAATCCCACTTTCTGTTCAACAGGGCCTTTTGTGGCAGCCACCCCTGCCCCCAGCTCCTGCTGGCACTGTCCCTTCCCCAGGCCACTGCCAACGGGCACAGGGCAACCGGAATGCTAATGGCACATCCTGGCTCCTGGCCCCAGCACCTGCCCCGGGCAGTGGTTGGGTCCATCGTGAGCCTGGACGAGTCAGTTCTTCTAAAGAGGGGGCGGCAGACCTTGGTATTCTCCTCAAGCTCAGGCAGCTCACTCACACCGCAGCCAGTTCCTCTGGCACAGTGGAGACCCCAACCCTCGCTCCACCCACCCACAAGTCCCTGCCCCCTGCTGGGCCCACCCACCCCCAGCTCCAACTTTGCGCCCAGGGAAGGATAAGGCTGTCTCCTCTGACAAGATCCACAGCCTCAGACACCCACAGGGGAAGTTCAGCTCCATCCTACAGGGTCACTCGAGGTTGGTATCCACTCGATGGCAGTGAACTTAGAGCTAGTTTTTCTCTGCTCCCCACAGTGCCTCAGCTGCACCCCAAGACCTTTGCACATGCGTTTCCTTCGCTCGAACTGTCTTCCTTAACATCTCTGCCCCTGCCCCTCAAAAGACCCAAACCATTGCCACCGAGGCAGTTCTGACTCACAGTGACCCTCCAGCACCGAGTAGAACTGCCCCATGGCGTTTCCAAGATGACAAACCTTTACAGGAAGCAGAAGGTCTCGCCTCCGCACCGCACCGGAGCTGCTGGTGGGTTTGAACTGCTGATCTGTTGGTTAGCAGTTGGGCACTTAACTGCTGCTCATCTCCCCACCCGCACCCAAACCACCCCCACCAGCCCCACTCCCCAGTGGCCTCACACACTTCTGAGCATCTCCGGGAGCCCTGGGGACCCAGTCTGACAACCACAGCACAGGGAACTTCGGAGCATCCTCTTGTGACCCAGGGCTTAGCTCGTCGGGCCCACACCACGAGCGCTGTCCCTTCTCTTAAGCACCTTGTCCACTGGCTCCTTTCCCCCCAGCAACCTCCCTCTGAGGAAGAGGGTATTGCTGTCCCCGCGGACAGAACAAACGAACAGCCCACAGCCTTAGAGTTGTTTCCTACTCATAACTTAACTCACTGCCATCGAGGCAGAATCAACTCGTGGCAACCCTGTAAGGACAGGGACGAGCAGCCCCTGGGGGCTTCTGAGACTGCAGCTCTTCACGGGAGTAGAAAGCCCCATCTTTCTCCCGAGGATCAGCTGGTGGTTTCGAACTGCTGACCTTGAGGTTAGCAGCCCAATGCATAACCACGATGCCACCAGGGGCAAGGGACTCCAAATTGGCAGAGTGGAAGAGATAGTGGGAAGGGGGAAGGTGCATGAACTGTGGACTCTGCCCTGGTTAGCTCTGTGTCCCCCACTCCCAGTGATCCTACAGAGCGGTTCTGAGGCTGTAATCTTCATAAGGACAGACAGGTTCACCTCGCTCTCGAGGAGCAGCTCGTGTGTTTGAACCACCAGCCTTGTGGTGAACAGCCCAATGCTTACCCAACAGTGCCACACGGATTTCCCAACGAGGGCATGGGGAGGTTGACTTACTCGGCCCAAGATGACACAACTAGACCCAAAGCTGAAGCCAGACTCCTTACTCCTCACCCTCATCTGGTCTGCTACTGGCCCCCGGGGTCCCTGGGAACTCTCGGGAGGGGGAGGGGGGCAGTGTGTTTCCAAGGAAATGGAGCTTCCGGTCCTATGGGAATGGGAAAGGCATGTGAGGTCTCCTTGGCGTCTCTAAGAGACCCCATGGAACTAGGGTTCCCCTGGTGAAGCTGGCTCCAGAAACAGGGCCAAAGACCCAAGGGGCAGCTGGGACACTGGCTGGATGCTCCAGGGAGGTGCTTGGCTTCTTACTGACACAGGGCATTCACATTCTGCCACCAGCCTCTCTCCCTTGAATCTTGCCCACTGCTGTCAGTCTCTACCAGGGCAGCGGTTGACTGGGAGAACCTGTGACCCTTTTTGTCCTTGCAGGACTCCCTAGGTCAGAGGAGGGGCAGCTCCCTATTGGCGGCCTATCAGACAAAACCGGGCAGGTGTGACAGGAACACCTTTAAGCACTATTGAGGGAGGCAGGGTGGGAGATTGTGCCTAAGCATCTATTACCCTGGTGGCATAGTGGGTTACACATTGTGCTGCAAATCACCGGGTTGGAAGTTCGAAATCACCAGCCGCTCTGCAGGAGAAAGATAAGACTTTCTATTCCCATACAGAGTTACAGTCTCAGACACTCCTAGGGGCAGTTCCAGTTGATTTGAGTCAGAATTGACTAGATGGCAGCTGAGTTTTTTGAGGTTTGGGTTTTTTTTTTGTTTTTTGTTGTGTATGGCTAGTGTATTGGAGATGAATTTTAATTCAAATTATATGGAGGAATTAAGTATTTGAGTAATATCAAAACAGTATCCTGCGTTCTCCTTTATACAATTTTAAGATAAGCAATACTTTTTCATTTCAATCTGAAAGTAGTGTAAAATTCCTTTGTAAAACAAAGTGTATTGGTGTTTTGCTAAAAAAGACTATGGTAGAAATAGATTTGATGCTAAATGTTAGGTGCTAGGGGAACCCCAGTGGTGCAGTGGTTACTTGTTGGGATGTGATCTGCATGGTTGGCAGTTCGAAACCACCAACAGCTCAGAGGGTGAAAGACTGGGCTTTCAGGGGTCTCTAGGGGAGGTCAGTAGGAAGACTAGAGCCCTGCAAAGCCTCTATGAGAGCGGTCATCCCACACTACGGACCAGGGTCATGACTGTATTTGAGGTGTGTGATCCACCATTATTCTTAGTGTTGAACTTCAGTAGCCTTCCTCCCTGTTGGTAAGCCTGTTGGTCGTGTTATGCTTGAAACCCAGCTGATACAGGTTATAGTCTATAGATGAGCTTGAAATAGTCTATCATATATATATATATATATATATGATAATAGTGATAAATCATTACATAGATACCATATTATTTGTGTATAAGCCGAGTTTTTCAGCACTTTTTGGGGGGCTGGTTTTATTTATTTATTTTTATCAAATAATCATTTTATTAGGGGCTCATACAACTCATCACAATCCGTACATACATCATTTGTGTCTAGCACATTAGTACATATGTTGACTTCATCATTCTCACAACACCCGCTTTCCACTTGAGCCCTTGGTGTCAGCTCATTTTTCCCCCTCCCTCCCCGCTCCCCCCTCCCCCTGAACCCTTGATAATTTATAAATTATTATTATTTTATCATATCTTACCCCATCCAA